GGGTGCCGTCGGCCAAACAGTGTCGGCTGGCGACCCCCAGGGGGAGGGCCTTCTCTGTGGGAGCCCCCACCCTGTGGAATGAACTTCCCCCAGAGATCCGGATTATTCCGGATCTCCCCTCCTTCCGCCGTGCCCTCAAGACATGGCTTTTCCATCAAGCGGGATTGGCCTAGGGGGGGGGATTGTATAGGGATTTTAACAGGGATTTTAAAACTTTTCTAAAAAGAACAGGCTTATTTAATATATATTTTAATTGTTTTTAGATATTTATTGTATAGTTCCGTTTTTATTGCCTGTAAGCCGCCCTGAGTCCTTCGGGAGAAGGGCGGGATAGAAATTAAAGTAATAAATAAATAAATAAATAAATAAATAAATAAGGCAAATGATCCAGCTGTCTGCAAGGAATATAAAAGCCTTCCATTCCCCACCTTCCAGTCAGAGCTAAAGAAGCTTCTTGGATGAGAAGTGAAATGTCTTCAAAGAAAAACAAGAAAGTCCATTTGCCTCCTAAAAAAGCACCTTTGGGAGAATGCTGTTACCTTCCCACCAAAGTGGTATCTATTTATCTACTTGCATTTTACATGTTTTTGAATTACTAGGTTGGCAGGAGCTGGAGCAAGAACAGGACCTCACCCTGTCACATGGTGCTTGGGACTTGAACTGCTGACTTCCTTTGTCGACAAGTCCAGTGTCTTAACCACTAGGCCACCACACCCATAGTTAAACTGTAGAATCATAGGATTAAAAGCCATGTTGTTCAACCAACTGCAGGAATGCACTATTACAGACATCACCCTGCCAACAAAAGGCCATGGTTTTCCCAGTTGCAATGTATGGCTGTAAAAGCTGGACCATAAGAAAGGCTGAGCGCCAAAGAATTGAGGCCTTTGAACTATGGTGCTGGAGAAGACTCCTGCGAGTCCCCTGGACTGCAAGGCGATCAAACCGGTCAGTACTAGAGGAGATCAACCCTGACTGCTCTTTAGAAGGCCAGATCCTGAAGTTGAAACTCAAGTACTTTGGCCACCTAATGAGAAGGAAGGACTCACTGGAGAAGGGCCTAATGCTGGGAAAGATTGAGGGCAATAGAAGAAGGGGACGACAGAGAATGTGGTGGCTGGATGGAGTCACTGAAGCAGTGACTCCAGAAGATGGTAGAGGACAGGAAGGCCTGGAGGAACATTGTCCATGGGGTCGTGATGGGTCGGACACGACTTCGCAACTAACAACAACAACAACAAGTATCCCCAACAAAGAGCCAATACAATTTCTGTTCAAATAGGTTCAGCTAAGCCAAGGTCATCATTTGCTGAGCATCCTTTCCATTGTCAAACTCTTGTCAGGAAATTCTTCCTAATATCTAACCAAAGTTGCCTTGTTATTTAAGCTTGCTGCCTTAGCATCCAGTCAGAGCTGAAGAACCCTCTTGGACGAGAGGTGAAATGTCTTCAAAGAAAAGCAAGGAAGTCCAGTTGCCTCCTGAAAAAGCACCTTTGGGACAACCATGATCTGGATGGCTGAGAATCTCCATAGATGCCACAGCATTTTGTGTGCCTCGGCATATGGTCTTGCTGGCCACATGACCCCGGAAGCGTCTTTGGACAATGCTGGCTCCCTCGGCTAGGAAATGGGGATAAGCACCACCCTCTAGAATCAGATATCACTGGCAGGGGAAACTTTTATCTTTACCTTTACAGTTTAACTATAATTTATTGAATAAATCCAAATTGATGGGTTTACAGAAGATATAAAACATGATTCACAAATCACAATAGGCAAGTCTGCATATCATGCTAAGATCCCAAAACAGAACACATTAGGCCACAGAACTGTGAACACACTGTGACGTCTGTATCGTATTGTATTTTATATCTTCTTTGGGATCTTGCAACAACTGCCTAGGCCAGTGGTGGCAAACCTTATGGCACACGTGCCAGAGGCGGCACTCAGAGCCCTCTCTGTTGGTCCATCAGGCCGCCACCGCCAACTGGAGCAGGAGCCCCGCCCAGCACAAAGGAGGCGAAGTGGCCAACTAGCAAGCTCGAGTAGAGGTGCTACAGCAGAGGTCACCAACCATTGGTGGACTGGAAGAAAAGGGAGGGGGAAGCATTTTACATGCGTGCATGTGCACACGGGGCTGTGAGCACGCACACACTGCAAATGGGGCGGGGCTAGTGCCTACTCACTAGCCCTGCCCCGTTCTTGCGTGGTGCAGCGCCTTGTATGTGTATGTTGCGGTGCGGCGGCAGCTGCCGCCGTTTTTGCACCTTGCAGCACAGTGGCCCATTTTTGCGCCCCCGGTTTTTGCTTGCCAGAGGCACTTCCCTGCCCCCCCCGAGGGCACCACAATGCTGATGTGGCCCTGGCACTTTGCGATAAATAAGTGGGTTTTGGGTTGCGGTTTGGGCACTCGGTCTCTAAAAGGTTTGCCATCACTGGCCTAGGCCATGTCTTCTTTCCACCTAAAATACTATGTAAATGCTATCTATGTCTTGAAATAAAATGCTTGAGCCGCCGCGCAAGAGGAATTAAAGAATTAGCCACAAAATAGTATTTGTAAGAGACCTTAAGTCCCTACTTACTCACAGTCCTCCAGTGAGAAAGTAGGTGTTAATCTGCACATGGGTGATTTTAAACTGATACAGGTTGCCCTCAACATACGACCGTAATGGAGCATGCCCATTACGGTCGTATGTTGTGACATTCATAAATTGTAGTCATTTAATGTGACAGTCATAAATTAACCAACCTGTTTTTATGACCTTTTTTGTGACAGTCGTTAAGTAAATGCTGCAGCTGTTAGGCAAACTCATTGCCAAGTGACCGGTTGTAAGTGTAATACAGGGCACATTTCAAGAATTCAGGAGAACAATATGGGAGAGGCCTCTGCATAATCATAACTCAAATAATTCAACCTTTGGCCTCTGGTTACTCTTTGTAGTTATAAAGTAATGCTCAGAACCCTCCATAGTGGAAAGTTCTACGAACCAATCATATCCTCAGCTATTAATATTGAAAAGGTATCTTCAGCACTCTTTGCTTTCTCCTGAATAAGCTGTAGCTTTTCCCTACTCACCATGATGGAAATCAGTATGCCAAATACAAGAATCTAAATCAACCCAATATTAAATTAGATTTTATTATGCTATTATTATTATGCAAAAGTTGGCTGGAAACTCAACATTAAGAAAACCAAGATCATGGCATCCGGCCCTCTCAATTCCTGCCAAATAGATGGGGAAGAAATGGAGGTAGTGACAGATTTTATCTTCCTGGGCTCCAAGATCACCACAGATGGAGACTGCAGCCAAGAAATTAAAAGACCCTTGCTCCTGGGGAGGAAAGCTATGGCAAATCTAGACAGCATACTAAAAAGCAGAGACATCACCCTGCCAACAAAAGTGCGTATAGTCAAGGCCATGGTTTTCCCAGTTGCAATGTATGGCTGTGAAAGTTGGGCCACAAAAAGGCTGAGCGCCAAAGAATGGAGGCTTTTGAACTATGGTGCTGGAGAAGACTCCTGCGAGTCCCCTGGACTGCAAGGCGATCAAACCGGTCAGTCCTAGAGGAGATCAACCCTGACTGCTCTTTAGAAAGCCAGATCCTGAAGTTGAAACTCAAGTACTTTGGCCACCTAATGAGAAGGAAGGACTCCCTGGAGAAGGGCCTAATGCTGGGAAAGATGGAGGGCAAGAGAAGAAAGGGACGACAGAGAATGAGGTGGCTGGATGGAGTCACTGAAGCAGTAGGCGTGAGCTTAAATAGACTCCAGAAGATGGTAGAGGACAGGAAGGCCTGGAGGAACGTTGTCCATGGTGTCGCGATGGGTCGGACACAACTTCGCAACTAACAACAACAATGCTATGGTCAATAAATGACCATGTGCCTGGATTAGTATTTATACAGATACTCTCCAAACCACCGATAGCCTTATACAGAAATATGTTTTTGTTTAGTGTGAATTACTACTAGGAGTATTCAGATGCAAAGGCAAAGTACAGGTAGTCCTTGACTTACAACCATTTGTTTAGTGATCATTCGAAGTTACAACGGCACTGAAAAAAATGACTTATGACCGTTTTTTACACTTTCGACCGTTGCAGCATCCCCAAAATTCAGATGCTTGGCAACTGACTCACATTTATGACAGTTGCAGTGTCCTGGAGTCATGTGATCACCTTCTGTGACTTTCTGACAAGCAAAGCCAATGGGGAAGCCAGACTCATTTAACAGTCGTGTTACTAACAACTGCAGTGATTCACTTAACAACTGTGACAAGGTCGTAAAATGAGGCTAAAGTCACTTAACAACTGTCTTGCTTAACCCCAGAAATTTTGAGGTCAATCATGGTCAGGGACTACCTGTACATGTGGGTTCTCAGGAAACACTTTCCGGTTTATGTAGGTCCTTTTAAACAGCTGCATTTTTCCCAGCTTTATGCAGCTGCACTCCACAAGGGAAGCACAATCCACAGAAAACATGCATTTTGGTTTTAAAAGTCGTGGACAGTTGCTCTAGGATAGGGTTAGGCAACCTTGGCTCTTTTATGACTCGTGGACTTCAACTCCCAGAATTCCTGAGCCAGCCACGCTGGCTCAGGAATTCTTGGAGTTGAAGTCCACGAGTCATAAAAGAGCCAAGGTTGCCTACCCCTGCTCTAGGAGCTACCCTTTGCACTCCAAAATTTCCATCCTGCCTTTTGAATCCAAAAAGCTACACAGAGGGAACAATAAGCATTATTTTGCCATTTTAATCGGCTTTCCAGAACAGGGGGCAGAAGGAAAAGTCTGTGTTCACTCAAGCCACTGAAGGACAGTTTAGCTAGCACTGTGCTCAAATCCTGCCCATGTGATTAATTTATGTTTCACTATGTTCGGCAAATGCAGGAAATAAAGTAAACTACAGTTCAATTAATCATGTCAGGTAACCTCAGCCACACAATAATTTGCACCAAGACCATAACCATATAAATTAGGGAAGTAACTAGTGAAAAGGAAGAGTGTAAATTCATGTATGTGATATGTTGGCATCTTTTAGAAGGACTTATTATCTATGTGTTTTGCAACTGACGCAACAATTACAGGTAGTCCTCGATTTAGAATTCATTTAGTGACCATCTGAAGTTACAACAGCACTGAAAAAAGTGACTTATGACCATTTTTCAGACTTACAACCATTGCAGCATCCCCACGGTCACGTGATCAAAATTCGGATGCTTGGCAACTGATTTTTATGACGGTTGCAGCGTCCCAGAGTCATGTCATCCCTTTTTGCGACCTTCTGACAAGCAAAATCAATGGGGAAGCCAGATTCACTTAACAACTGTGTTTGCTAACTGCAGTGATTCACTTAACAACTGTGGCAAGAAAAGGTTGTAAAATGGGAACAAAACTCACTTAACACATGCCTCGCTTAGCAACAGAAATTTTGGGCTCAACTGTAGTCGTAAGTCGAGGACTACCTGTAATTATAGAAGCACTCTCTCTATATACTTTCCCATGCTTGGATATCCACACTGAAATTTAAACAAGAAAAGTAGGCAAAGGACTGAGAACAAAAGACCCTTCTGCAAGATTTTACCCAGATGGGTGGTGTTCTTTTCTACAACCACAATCACAACAATACAAACTCAGAGCTCTAAAGAGGAAGGCAAGCAGAAGTTTGGAAACTGCCCGGCTTCCCTTTGAACCAGCTGACACCCCCCCCTCCCGCTTTGAACTCTCCGCGTTGTGCAAATCCAGCCTGGAAGTTGAGTTAGAATAGAATTACAGAGTTGGAAGGGACCTTGGAGGTCTTCTAGTCCAACCCCCTGCTCAGCCAGGAAACCCTCTACCATATTCAGACGAACGGCTTGTCCAGTCTCTTCTTTAAAACTTCCAGCGTCCGAGCACCCACAACTTCTGGAGGCAAGTTGGTCCACTGGTTAATTGACGATTTTCACTGCGTGGCAGAAAGACGGTTTTAGCCCGGAAATTGCGGCCACGAGCGGGGTTGCAAAAGCCACGGGCTGGCCTAGAGATCCATCCGGGCTGGACCAGCCACGGACGGGCACCGGCGCCCTGGAAGCCACAAGGCCGGGGAAACAAAAGCGGGGCCGAAGCCAGCGGCCCTCCCTGGGAATCGGCCGGCCTCTTTTTCAAAAACGGCAAAGCCAAGGCGGGTGGGCCGAGGGGGCGTCCCTGCCCCAATTCTCCCGCGTCAGCCTGCTCGGGGTTAAAGGGTCCCCCCCCACCGGCAGAGCCCTCACCTGCTCGGAGGAGCGCCCCACCAGGCTCCGCTGCTGCTGCTGCCGCCGAGATCTCCTCCAACTCCTCGGCGTCTCGCAGCGGCCGCGGCTGCTCCACGTTCGGCTTCAACGTGGCAGCGGGAGCACCGCCTTCATCGCGCCGGCTTCCGGGACTAACCGACGCCCGCCCGAAGGCTGGGCTGGGTTGGGCCTCCTCCGCCACGCAAGCGCGGAGCCCGCCGCCTTTGTGGCCTCCCGGGGCCGCCAGCTAAGCCGGGCGAAGCAAGGGCGAAGGGCCTCTGCCCGCGTGCAAAGCGGAGCCGCCGACTAGGCTACCATGGCGAAAGGTGCTGCCGAGATCGAGGCCCGAGGGCTACGCCGGGCTCCTGCCGCTCAGCCCGGGGCAGAGAGGGCGGGCATTGGGGCAGTCAAAAGTCTGCGTAATTTTGCAGACACTAGAACAGTGTTTCTCAACCTTGACCATTTTAAGGCATGTGGACTTCAACTCCCAGAATTCCACAGCCAGCATTGCTGGCTGTGGAATTCTGGGAGTTGAAGTCCACATGCCTTAAAATGGTCAAGGTTGAGAAACACTGCACTAGAACAAAATTTAGCTGCATTCAAGGGACTCGGATGCTCTCCTTGAATGTAGCCAAGTTGTGTTATACTGTCTGCAAAATTAAGCAGACTTTTGACTGCCCAATCCACCACCAATTGTTCAGTATTATCGCCTCTTTATTTCATTTGACTTTATTAATGTCTCAAAAGCAACTGGACAGATTTTTTTTTTGAGGAAGAAGAGGGGGGAAAAAGAGATGTCTCACTTCCCATCCAATAGTACTTCCATCTCCCCCACCATCCAGTACAACTGTTGAAGCTTTCCCAGTGGGAAGCCAAACGGGGTTTTTTTTTTCTTCCTCCTCAAAAAAAATCAGTCATTGCTTTAAAAAATATATAACACCTTTGAGACAACTGTAACCTGGATGACTGAGAATCTTCATAGACATTTGACTTTATTAATGCTTCTTACTTGGTGTAAGCCCTCTTCCCACCCTCCCAGAAGGAAATATTTTGGGGGGTATTAAAAAGGCAGAATATTATATTCCCCCCCCAGGAAAGCAGGCCAGGTCTGTAGAAATGCAGATTTGATAATCTTAATAGCCCCAAACAGAAACTCAGCAGGCCAGGTCTGTAGAAATGCAGATTTGATAATCCCATTCAGAAAGTCTGAGGCCCCATTCATGAGCAAATACTACTGCAGAAACCCATTCAAGACAGGATCTTTCGAAATCGTTTGGAGCAAAACTGATAGCTAACAATAGCAGAGTGATAGGATTAGAAACAGTAACCCCTCACCCAAAAGAATTCAACACAGGACACAGCCATCAGCCACAGGGAACCAGACATGAGCTTTAGGACATAATAGGATTAACCCACCACCATCAGAATACAAAAAGGGCACATTCAGACTCAGGTCAAAGTACATGACACAGGAAATACAAAGCCACATGAACAGGAACAACTCCAAACATAAAAGCCCAAGAAGGTATAAAAACCCACCACGCCCAGCAACAGGTGGTCAGCTGCTTGAGTCACATGCTGTTGTGGTTCTGCTCTTTAATAAACTAGAACCTTTTTTTCTAAAGTAGTCTCCATTTTGTTTATTCCAGGCTTGGATTGGACCCTGATGAAGATTTTTCTTTCAACATTGGAATGCTGGTCTGTGACTGCAATAAAACTATTATTATGGTGGGCATCCAGCTTGGCCATTAGGTATGATGGTGAATGCTTTTGTAATTAATCCTGGCTTGAGGAAACCCATTGGGTAGGTTCAAGCATCACGCTAAGCCACATTGTACAAGTGATAGCAGTCTAGGGCTCTAGGCAGTACACTAAGCTACTGGTATAACTAAATTGCTTGCTGCTGGATCCCCACATCATGTTCAGACATGCTTCTTTTTGGCTGGAGGAGGTTATAGATTAGATCTATGACTAGCCCTGTTTTCTGCTCTTAAGCCATTGCACAGAATTGCTAAAAAAGCAAATAAAATCTTTTCATTTAACAGGTTAGTTATGTCGTACACCACAAAAATAAAGCCATAAAGCATGACAAAAAAATGTCCAACCCTAATTTTAATGCCTAAATAATATATCTTAGAACAGCAGCAAACCAGTATTTTCTGTTTACATGAGATGAGGGAAAACACCACTAAAATAGTCATACAAAAATCTGAAATATTTTTCAAGCAAAAGTTTAAAGCAATATTATTTACTGATACATGTGTGATTTGTAACTCTTATAATTCCCAGCTAAAATAGGCAAAAACTGGGAAATATGGGTGCTTTCGTATAAAAATATCTGGTAGTGCCAGTTTTGAAAAGATAGCCTTGAATTCTATGGCAACTTGGTAACATAGCCATAAGAGATCAGATGAGGAAATTTAAAGGCCTACAATTATGTGTCATCAAGTGGTTTTTGACTCCTAGTGACCACGTAGATAAGATGAAGTTCTGCAATCCTTAATTTTTAAGCAATGACCCACTTTTTCCTGTAACTCCAAAGTTTGCTCAGGCTGATCATTTCACAATAAAGGACTTCTTTTATTTAAAGTTGTAATGCTGCATAGAAATTACATATTTATATATCTTTAAATAAACATCTCAACTCCTCTCAGTGCTTAACAATACTTATGAATTCAGCATCCCCTTTAATAATACAGTATAGAAATCAAAACACGTAAGGCAACATTAAGGTATTTTTTTATTATAAACAAAATCAGGAAAATACAAGACATTGCCTTCTATATTTTTGACAAACCTTGAAGTTCATCTCCCCATTTGTGTTGGAAATTTGATCCATCAGATTACAAAGGAGTTAAGAACAGTTTTAAAAACTGAGGGGAAAAAAATCAGATGAATTGGTGAAGAATTCACAACATGAATGTTCTACCATTTAAAAACATATCTAAGGAATAAAAGAAAGGTTTTATCTGTAACTTGATTTTTATAAGTTGCATTTTTAATGTTGACATGCAGGTGAGATAAATTTTAGTTTTTGATAACAAGGAACAGTATATTTAAAAATGATCCCATTTTATGTGAACATTTTAATCATTAAGGATCCCTGTATGGGACCTGTCTAAAGGTATAGATTGCCACAAAATACAGAATAGTATGTGCAAATATTACACAAAATAGTCCTATGAATGATACCATATACAATAATCTAATAATAAAGCTAATTTTACACGAAACATTTTGTATCTGTGCGATCAATCTGATAATATGCATTCAGAAGGACAGGTTGAATTGTCACAATACCTCTTTATTTAGCTACCAAAACCACAAAATTGCAAACAATTCACTGGTTTATTCTGCAGCTAACAAAATACAGCTATAAGTTTAAGTGACTAGTATATGAACCCCATCTTTATAGACCACCATTAAAATGTATGGTTTGCTCAACCGTGACCCAGCTTAACAATTATACCCCCATGTGGACCAATTATTTTATTCTCCACTATTATTACAAAATATTGTAATGGTTACCTGGACATCCTCCAAGAGAAATTTCTTGTTTCCTGAAAGCAGGAAAAAGAGTACTGTGAATAATATATAAATAGCATAAATTATACTTTCTTCTATAGGTTGAAATATACTTTACTCAAAACTGAAATATAACAGAATATGGTGTCCTCATCTACGTGGATAATAATCACAGCAAATCATGATGTGAACAGCAAAAATGTTTTAATCATTGAACACCACAAAAAAGAAAGATAACAGCCTAAACATCAATTTTACAAATACGCAAATATATTAGCCTGGCATTTTAAAAGTACATTATTTTTTAATAACTACTGTATGCATAGTATCTGCTTGGCTAGTCTGACCTAGCAGAGTTGGTGTGCTCCAGATTCCTTGAATTAAGCACCATTTATTGGGACTCTGGAAGAACATTTTCTCTATAATAGTGCCTGCATTCTCGAACAAGATTCCTCCTGAGATTCAAATAGGATAATCTCTATCCTACTGTTATTTTGAAGGTCTCTAAAGATGTGACTCTGCCCAGCCCTTTGGCAAGAGATGATTTACACCACATTTCTTTTCTTTGTTCCCCATCCAGGTTTGTTTTTCCTGCCCTCAATATTTGTTTTGTGTTGTTTTGCATTTTTAAATCTTTTTAAAAGTTTGTAAACTGCCAGAATCAGTGGGAACCAGGCAGTATATAAATCTAATTGCTAATAATAATTTTGTGGCAGACTTCTGAATCTTTTATAAACAGTATCAACTCATACAAATGTTAAATAATCATAATGCATTCTTAGTTATATTTTAAGGGCACATTCATTGCAATCAAAACCTATCAATGTTATTATTCTTTATTAATGCATTGTAATACAAAGTAACTCTGGGTGGCTTACATTAAAATATCACAATGTAAGAACCCATAAAACCCCAACCCAGCGGCGGCAACCATACAAACCTATCCAAATCTGAAGAATCTGTTTCAACATACAATATAATACATGAAAAGGAATATTCAAGGGACAAAAAAAATCCTTACCTCAAATTGTGAGACTCCATGTTCCAAACATTGCACGTGTATAACTCTTTAAGAAAGCAAAACAAAATTAACAATTCGTGGGGTTTTTTCCCATCCAAGGGTAAAATGGTAGATGTCTAAAGCACAGACTACAGCTAGAGGTTTGGGATGCATGTCCTTAAATGTAAATCACATTATGCATTTAATATTTTAATTGCCACGTTTTACCACAAGGTAAAGGGCCACTTTAGTGGGTGCACCAAAAGGGGCCACAAAGTCCTTGGCTCAGAGAATCCCTCTATATAACCATCAAAAACCAACTTAGTGCCAGGCGTTGCTCCGACCCCCGATTCCCCCCCCCCGCATCTAAGCGTTCCCGGAACTTCAGTAATTCGGATTTGCCACCCAACATGTGGCTTATAAGCCAGGAAGGCATCCGAATTAAAAAAAAAAAAATGCAAGCAGCAGGGAAGCAAATCCCTACCCACGTGCCCTTCAGCCGCGCAGACTACAACACACATCATCCCCTCCCGCGAGCCTGACGCTCGCCTCTTTCGCTAGAACTGAAGGCATGAATCCTCCTCGTGCGAAAGAGCGAGGCGGTTACTCTCCCTCCCCCGACACCACGGAATCCTCGTAAGCAATTCGAAGGAAAAAGAAAAATATCCACTGGAATTATTTTCTGATTTCTATTTATCTGACTAATCCCCCACGGCGAGGAGAGAGCGCCCTTTGCTCCACCACGCCCGGCTCAGACACCCATTTCTCTCTCCCCCCCCCTCCCCGACTCCTCGCAGCACCAGCCACAGTCGGAGGCCCCGCGCGAAAGAAAGCCGCGCGCCAGAATCCGCGAATAAAGCCTACTCCAGGGGTAGGCAGCGGTTGGCTCTTTTATGACTCGTGGACTTCAACTCCCAGAATTCCTGAGCCAGCCATGCTGAGGGGAAAGGGAGAGGTTTCCAAGCTGAGCCATGCTGGCTCAGGAATTCTGGGAGTTGAAGTCCACGAGTCATAAAAGAGCCAAGGTTGCCTGCCCCTGGCCTACTCCCTTTCCGTTCTAGCCGCGCTCCCATTGGCCTTAACCAAACGCTGGCTTTGATTGGCACATGTCTTTTTTCCGCTTCCGGTTGTGCGAGCGTTCGGCGGTCAGTTCCATAGCCATAGAGAGAGTTATACTAACTAAGGAATGCGGCAATTCTCCTTAGCGCTTCCGGCGCCACTTCCGCTTTTGTTTGTCAAGGACAGGGGTAGTCAACCTTGGCTCTTTTATGACTCGTGGACTTCAACTCCCAGAATTCCTGAGCCAGCTTAGCTGGCTCAGGAATTCTGGGAGTTGAAGTCCACGAGTCATAAAAGAGCCAAGGTTGACTACCCCTGGTCAAGGAGGTGATGGAGTTCTTTCTTACGGGGGTTCCGCTAACGGGAAGACAAAGAAAGCCATGGCGCCATTTTCCTGCGGAAGGATTCCTCTCCCCTGCAGGAGAGAGGACGTCGGTTCGAATTTGGTATCTCAACGGAAGGGGAACCAAAGGACAGGCAGGATCCCTCAATTGACCCGTCAAGGAATGGCGCCTCTCAAGAGGAGACTTTTTCCAGCTGTCCTCTGTTACGGCCGATCGCCCGGGCACGTCCATTTAACTCTCTCGACAAGGATACAGAAGCTACTGCCATCTTCCGCTCTTCGACTTTCCAAGCTAGGCAACGATTCTTGGAATATCCTGGAATCTCAAGCCAAGGTCTGCCAGAGGCAGCCGTGGGCTGTGGTTGACCACGTTGGAGCGCTACCGTCATAAAGTCCTAAACTCAAACTTGGTGCTTCGTATTGTAGACCAAAGTTGGAAACTTTGGCGACTTTAAGATGGGTGGACTTCAACTCCCAGAATTCCCCAGCCAGCATGGGGAGATAGTCTGGCTTGGCTGGGGAATTCTGGGAGTTGAAGTCCAAACATCGTAAATCCGCCAAGGTTGAAAACCATTTGTAGTGGGACAATGTTAGTTTGCGGTGGCTCGGAGTTCTTCAGCTCGGAAGTTCAGGACCCGGGACAGCGGGATGAGCCGAGAGAGGAGTTTTTTGGCAATGATGTGAAAGGGGCTGGGTCCCACCACACTTCTAAAAGCAGATTTGGTGGAGAATGCAATAAAGAATAAAGCCTACTTTATAAATGACAGTGGCTGGGTTCACAAAGCACCGCACCAGGGGTTGTTAAGCTGTATCATGGCTTAAAGTCTAACATAGTTCAGTTATATGTGGCTTGGTTTGGGTTCGGCATGTTGGGCGATCCCAGTCATTATGGTATGTAAACACGGTGTGGTATCAACCCAGCCGGTTTAGGTTTGAAGTTCTCATTAAAACGTGGCTAACAAACCATGGCTTAAGACAAATATGAATCTAATAGAAAGGAGAAAGAAAATAGAAAGAAATACAGTACTGGCAATATATGTAGGAACCCTAAACTTGGTTCTTTTAATCTTAGAATTTTTTAAATGATGCATTATGGATATCTCAGCATATCATGGCAACATCTGACCTGGAGAAAAAAGAAACAATTAAAAGTCTGCTACGACGACTCCCTGTCCCCAGCAAAAAAGAAAAAGAAAAAAATTCTAAAGCTCACAATAGTGTTTGAATATCACCTTCATGGAAATAATGGTGCTGGCACTTTGCAGCATCCCAGTTTCCTATTTATTTTAAAACAATCTGAAAGCAAAATAGTGTATCCCAGGCACAAATCTGTACATGCCCAGTAAACAATTTAAATAAAAATCATACAAAACGAATGAGGAAAAGCTAAAAATAAAAACAAGCGGTAGCTTGCTGTTTTTATAGGCAATTCAGCCATGGGGAGAAGGCTCAGATAGGAGGGACGGAAAGCAGCACAGGTGTCTGCAATTTTCTCAGCAGCCTGCTTTTCCACAGGTTGTAACAGTCATTTGGTTGGTTCTGAAACTGACTGTGGAAAGCTCTAATCCTCACAGGCATCCTTAAATGTTTACATCCTTCAGTATAGCTATGTTACATTTCTGCCATTGTCTGCAAGTGTGTTTCCAGGAAAATGCAAGGGGATGGTTGTCTGCTCTAAAGCCCTTCATAGCATGGGGCTGAGTTATTTGCAGGACCCCAATTGTTTCTGTCCCATAAAGTCTAGCAGGAGAGACATACTGTAAATCCCATGTTGAATAAACGTTATCTCCAGCAAATTCAGTAAATTTTACACCTTTATACCAGTTTTTAAAATGTTTTTAAGTTGTAGTAATTAACACACAAAATGAATGCAGAGTTTTATTTGGCAAAAGAAGGGGAGGGAGGGGAAGAGCATTGAATGGCATTCAAAAATCAGTTCAAGGCTGCAAGATTGTGATGGAAATTCAGATACCCGAATGGTTCCTACGGTAGTGCAATTTCTAAGCACCAGGTATTATGTTTAGAAATAAGGTGCTGGAATGACACAAGTTTCTGAAGTTATGATGAATGTGCAAATAAATGGGCCAGGTTGTATAATAGAAGCTGTTCGTTTCTGGAGTTTTCGTGATACAACATGTTCTTGGTGATTTCTATGTAATAATTCAATATGGTAATATTCAGCATGGCTGGCTATGGAATTCTGGGAGTTGAGGGCTACACATTTTCAACTCGCCAAGGCTAAGAAATAGTAGCATAGTTTCCCTTGTTTCCTAGAGAAATCAGTGGCAAAAATTAAAGTCCGGGTCCCTCAGTGGGTCCCATCTATTACGAGTAGGTAACAGTGCAGGGCAGGGGTCTTCAAACTTGGCCCTTTTATGACTTGTGGACTTCAACTCCCAGAATTCCTCAGCCAGACCCTTGGTGTAGAGACTTCTTTCTGTAATACTATTCAGATGACAGACCACTTTGGAGATGTCATGTCAACTAGCTACTGTACATGATTGTGGTTCTATTAATGACACCGTATCAAGAATTAATCTGAAGATAGAAGTAGGCTTTCCTGAAGGGTGTCAATTATAACAACTTTAGGAGGGAATAATGTAGTGGGAATACCCAAGAGCATTAGAAGTTTTGTCTTCTGAGTCTCTAGTGAAGTGTGAATGTAATAATTTCCAGTGGCCCCAACGGAAGCATAATTCACCCAAATTACTGGATGGTTATTCAGGATACAATGAAAGAATCTTACATAATGATCATTTTAAAACACTGCTTTTTACAACTAGTCCATATCACCGCCCTTGTTGTGATAAACAGGTGATCTGGTTAGGCTGTCATCCCTTATAAGCAGGACTTGGGGCTGAATATTTATAGACATGAACTACAGGCTTTTAAAAATGTCTTAAATTGTAATATAATAATCTAGACTTTTATAATTAAGTGTGCTTTTACTAACCAGCACTAACCTGATGAGGTTTTGTTAACTATTCAACAATTATGGAAAAGGACAGCCAGTAAATGCCTTGCTTTCGCAAAATTTTAGAGGAGAAAGTGTTTTAACAGAAGAAACTTAGAGGACAAAAAGAGAGAGAAAGCAAAGTCTACATGTCAACATCAGCATCAATAACAACATAACAAATTATATAAGGAAACATTAAAGCAAAAATGAGAAGTTTAATTTTGAAAAAAGTTTCAGATGACACATTTTAAAAATTAGTGACAAGTGAATTGTCAAGTTGTGGTGGTCATGCTAATGAAATCTAGTACAGTGGTACCTTGGTACTTGGCTGCTTCAAAACTCGTTGAATTTGGTACTTAACACATTTTGAAGTGAAAATGTTGTCCCGGTACTCGACGCACTGCAAAAGGAATTGGGGGACAGTTGCAGAGGGCGGACAGGAAGTCAGCCATGCTGGGAAGGTCGCTGACATAGGAAAAGGGACAGATAGGAAGTCCTTCCCGCAAAACAAAGGGTCACGTAGTAAGTCACATGGTTTGTTTGCTACTCATCTTTTTTAGTACTTGCCGTGCTTCCCAGAACAAATTAAGCATAGGTACCAAGGTACCACTGTAATTTCTTCATATTACTGACTTTAGCAAAAAAAAACACCTTTGTCAATTTGTACATAATAGTATAAACATTTTATTTTTTTCTTTATCTGACATTTGTTTTTACAATATAGAAAAGTGTATTCTTTTAATAGGTCTAGTAATATAAATTTTATCTATTTTTGGATGTAAACCATAACTAGAAAATTTTCCCAAATACCCTCCCCCATCTCAAAATCTGCTAATAAGGGGATGCAATATAAAAGCATTCTGGCTAAGCAGCTCCTAATTATTATTATAGGGGCTTTGAAAGAAACACTGCAGAATCTCAGCTGACGGAGAGGATCACAATGCAGGCATAATTTGATAAGCTGCTGTCAAGATCTTGATATATTTTTACTAACCTGTGAGCACTTTCATGCAAACAATCAAGAAAAACTCAAAGGGGAGAAGATCCAAGCTAGGTAGAAGAGACAGCTTGTTTTATGAGACAAAAAACTAGCTTTCTTTGATTGCACCTTCTTCAAATCTTTTACACACAATTCCATTATACATAATCTACAACCAGAATCCAAACTTCACAGGTTTTCTGCACACTTATAAATACACATCACAAAAAAAGGTGCAAGTTAAAATAAGACACAGAATATGTACAACATAAAACAAATGTAATTCTAGACAAAACAATGGATGTTTGAAAAATAACTTGATCAATTTTTACTTTACCCACTTACACTAGTTTACATTTATACAAATCTTGTTGTATGGACATTTATGAAAGTAGTAAAAAGGCAAGTCTTCATCTACTCAGAAAATTAACAAACTCTCGCCCACCCAAAAATAATTCTATATGTAAAAGAATTATATTGAAATAAAGAGCTTCCCTTTCAGGGTTGTGTGTAATTTAAGCAAGTCTGCTATGTACATACATATTGTAATACAATAGAACATGTGTTTGCGTGTGTACATATATCTATACACACCCCACAATTCTATGGAGATAATATCCATTTCGAGAAAAAAAATTGCAGCACTATAATTACAGAGCAGGCTACATTATCTAACAGGTGCTTGCTAATTCAAACGTGGAACTTAGACATTCATAAACTCATTTAACGATTTCTTCACTACAAAACCATGCAGTTGTGTTTTGCATTTTAATAGCTTTTATTACAAAGGTTCTCTCTCTCCTAAGCAGTTCCATCCAAATAATGTTTTTCCACTCTTTTCTCTCTTTCCCAAGGAAATCTCTTACGTTTTTGTCCTAAGACTATGCTTCTAAAATACACTTTTAAAATATAAACTAAGCCAATTCAATAACAAAAAGAACGCACACAGCTTAAAATTGGTTTGAACACTGCTAAAAGAACATCTCGGCTGAATACTTAACTGGGACTAATGCTTGTTCTTGGCTGAAGAAAAAAAAAGATTGACCACCTCAGTAATACCTTTCCCTCCTTTTCCAATTGAAATATTTTCACGTACTGCACAAGCAGATATAGCTCTACAAGTTTCCACTGTCTTATCCACTTCAGCCATAGCCCAACAGACTGAAGACACGTGAAAGGTCATGGATGTGAGTACAAAGTCTATCATTATTGCAGAGTGGCCACTGTTCCTCCTACTGTAAATGACAATCACACAGCTGTTTGTTTTTTTTTTAAAAAAAGACACCTCAGCTTTCAAAAGATGCACTCTCCACACTGCGCCATGCGCACTTTAAAACAAAACTCACACAGTTCTTATAAAGGCAGTAAATGAGCTACGTCTAAGTAATTCGCTGACAATGGATGAGAACCACATTAGGAAACGTACTGACTTCTTCCCTTTCCATTTAAAAATCTCTTTTTCAAAAACAATTTCACCATGTATAATCTGGAAAGGAGGCAAAAAGATTTGAGAAACATTTAAGAGGCCCAAAAGAATTGCTAAAGTTTGCTTCTACTGGAATCTCAGACAGTATAGTAAGAACATCCACCATTTTACACAACTGAAAGTAGCCTCTAATTTTAGCATCTCCAGATATAATGGGTTTTTTGGAATCTTCAGGGATGTGGAATTTTGTAACTTGAACGCCAGATTTGGGGAAGAAACAAATATAGGGAAGTCTAAACTAAGGATCATCTTGTCATCCTTTTAGCATTAAAGAGGAAATATTACCAAGAGTTCCTTAGTTTACAAATGTCCCCAGTATTGCTTCCATTAACAAATATGGGCACGATCGTCAATTTATTTCCACATATTCCTGCCATATGAGTAAAGCTTAGATACTACAAATATAAATTAAGATTAAATTCATTTAAGATTTATTTTTTTATTTGTCTACTGAAGTATTTGAAGGAGAAATTGGGAAACTCAACGGTTGACTGGATAACAATAGTTAAGATTCTAAACAAACAAGAGACAGGTTTTCCTCATTTTGTCGTACGGCATTTAGCAGAAATGTTAAAAATCTAATTACACTGACGTTTGTCAAATAAAATATCAATCCCCTTGAAAGCTAGACATTAAAATGTCTCATTAAAATTTGGAATACATGTATTTTACAGTGATGTATTTTTAAAAACATACCAAAATAATTAAGATATCAATTATGACCTTGATTTTTTTTAAAATCAATGTTATTATATATATATTTGCAGCTATCACTGCTATGGTGTCAATAGTTTAAGATCAACAGACAAGGCACTGTCACTGAGTTAGATTGGGGTCAACAAGACAACTTCTAAATTTGCATATATTTTTTTAGCTGTTTTCCAGCAAATATTTATTTCTAATAATTTCCAGTCAGCATTATCTCATCCACAGATGTACCACTGCCTATATTTTTTTGCAAATATAATCTGTGCTATGATGCTGAATGAATGGGCTGGAAAAATCTATCCAGTGTACGGATATTGTTCTTATAAGAATATCCAGGCATTTCAATTCGTTTTGCACAAACGTTGCTCCTGATAAACTGACTAGTTTCTTTCTTCTTCTCCTAAATACAAAAGTCAACCGTATCAATTGCAAATAATAATTTAAAGCAGGGGTCTTCAAACTTGGCCACTTTAAGACTTGTGGACTTCAACTCCCAGAATTCCTCAGCCAGCCCTGGCTGGCTGAGGAATTCTGGGAGTTGAAGTCCACAAGTCTTAAAGTGGCCAAGTTTGAAGACCCCTGACTGAAAGAACTGCTTCTAGAATACCCTTTTAAGGAGAATAAAGGGAAGGAAACCAGCTAAGCTTTGCACTGTCCCAGGTTGTTTAGAGGTTGGGAATAAAATGCATCTTGTATCTGTGAAGTAAAAGAGAGTTAGGCTAAAAAAAGGTAAAGCGTCATTGCGAAGTTCCTACGTTAACATATACACCAATGGAAACTTCACAGCACCAGTTAACCAACGACGAATGCTGCTGTGAACCAGAAAGTGTCCGTGTGCCTTTTAGTGTCCCAGTTCGAGCAAAGCCCGTTTTTTCAAGAATCAGCAGTTCATGGCACAAGGATCACTTTTGGATTTTCCTGCCGAGTTAATGATTCTCATTAGACAACGTCCAAATTCCTCTAGAATCATCCGTTCTGCTACGGCTTTGGATTTTCCTGCTTTCTCGGCCTGTTCGGCCTGCGCCAGTAAACAGTCACAGGTCGCGTCAGCAACCTCCTTTGTTACAAACGTAAAGGGCAACCTGGAAAGGAAAAGAAATTTAAAAAAAAAAGCATGAGCTGTGCACTTGGAACCACCACACTTTTTTGAGTTAACTGATATACCGAGCTATTCACAAACCACAAAAGGAAGATTTTGGTCAGTGATGGCGAACCTTTTAGAGACTGAGTGCCCAAACTGCAACCCAAAACCCACTTATTTATTGCCAGGTGCCAGGTGGGCGTGGCCCACA